TTGGGCACATGTTTGTTCTCAGAGATGTCTGTGCACTGGAATGGCTGGAAGAAGTTTTCTAGAATACGTATGCACATTGTTCTGGATTGGCTGGGGTAAATGTGTCAAAGAAACATGCTTTGCACTCCTGGTTGATGAGCGGAGAAATGCAGGATCTTTTTATTGTCCTTGTGTTTGCCTGAGCTTATTCTGCTGGTCTTGGCCTAGCCAAGGAGCAAATACCTACTCTGGCATGTGGAGGAGATTATAGAGGGGCCTGAGATTACAAAGATTAAGGTTCGTAATGCCACATGGCATGTCACTTTAACTTCCTTATTACTCTGTGTCCGCAAGTAGCATGGCGTCATGAGCACCAGTTCTCATCGTGGCCTGTGGGCTGAGATGCAGTACTATGCCAGCACATTGGTACAGCATCCATCCAGTCAGCCCAATCTGCAATATGCATCCTCTCACTTTTCTTTACAAGGCTGCACAGCAGAAGGAGCTTGGCTTTATCTTATGCTTCACTCACATGACAATGTAACTGTGTCTTGGAAAAAATGATGGAATATGGAATTATGTTCTCCATAAATGCCTACAGTAGAGTTTCTTAATGAAACATATTGCATGGCACGTAGTTACAGGTTATTGAACTAGCAAGACCAGTCTAATCCAGGCAAGTCATTTTGATACGCCAAGTGGATGATGAAATGCATGGTTCAGAAATCAGACATCACTAGAGCCCCCCTCATCCAAATCCACAGAGAGAAATGTTTTGAGGAGAAAATCTGTCTCCTAGCTGACATGAAGGCATCGCCATGTCCGTGAGGACTCACATTCCTGAAACTAAGAATAAACCTGCAGCTGTGAGCAGGCGAATGGGCTGGGGCACATAGCAGCCTCCAAGTGTATCTGCCTGGGAAGAGCCTCTGCACGCGAACAACATCACAAACGTACTTGCAGCTTGTTCCTTCTTTCCCTCACTCCAAGAGCACGTTGAAGTCACTGAGGTGAGTTATGCCAACACAATCAGGCCTGTCAAAAAACTAAACTTGTTGCAGTGAGTCTTAGCCTGACTCATCACTTTGACAATGAGCATTATGTCTCCTAAATCTCTTAAAAACCTTTTCAGAGTTTCATTCCTAGCACATTTCTGCAGGAGTTTTCGTCACGCTGGTTTCAAGCTCATGCTTTCCTTGGTTGCCCGCTTTGCTCATGAGATTCCTACTGTTTTATCATACGGATTCAGTTATAAAATGCAAGAACTGCTGGTGCTGACATAGGCTAGAGAGGATTGCTCCTGAAGAAGACGCTGTTAATTGGGCTGTAGGGGTCAGCATGTGACGGGGTGGTGGGTGCTAGCAGCGGGGGGGCCTGGATCACTCTGTCTCAGCTGGGTGTCTTGGTCTTTTCCTGCTGTCTCCACTCCGCTCCTGTTCACCCGTGCTGTGTGCGCGAGGGAAGGATGTGCAATTGCCTTGCAACAGTAGAGAGAAGTGTCTCTTGTAGATAGGTCTGATAATGTCAAAAGAAAAAAAAAAGCCAAAAGAACAGAATGATAAGGCAAGTGATAAAAGAAGTATGAGAGTGAGGAACGATGTTGGTAGGTGAAAAAGGCAGGAGAGAGGCTGACACTGCACAAAACAGCGCTTGAGAGCAATGTGCCAGAAATGCTACTGGCGTTACAGCTTTTTAGCAAATTTCTCTCTATACAAGTGACTTGAGACATCAGCTGTACTTTATATTTTCAAGATATTGCAGAAAACCTCAAATACGTATGTGGGTTTTTTAGAGGGATTATTTGCTTCTTTATTTTCCCCCTTCAGAAATATTTGCAGTCTTCATTCTTGTCTTCTGTGGGTTTGGTGGAAACATTCTTGGATGATTCACAGATTTTAAGAACAGAAGGAGCTGTTATGTTCCAGCTAATTTGAGTCCCTTCTTAACATAAGCCGTAGAGCATTACCTGATAATCCCTGCAGCAAGCTTCTGGTTCAACTGGAGCATGAATTTAGAAAGACATCCAGTCTTTAAATTGAGATGTTAAAAACTGGAAAATTCACAAGCCTTTAGATCAGCTTGTTTCAATTGTTAATTACTTCACGTATGTATATCATTAGTTTCTTTAACTTCAGTTTCCAGTCTCTGCCATCTCACTATACCATTTTTTGCTAAACAAGAAATCCTGTACTGTCTGAAATGATACCTCCATACAAGAGGTTGGAGGCAATTTTAAAACTTATCCTTCTCTTGAACAAATTAAATAAAAAAAACTTTCTCGCAGGGTAAGGCTTACTTAAAAGGTCTCTAATAATTTGTTTTCTCTTTCTAAAACCTTTCCAAAGTTGGGTGAGGGTTTGTTGTTTTTTTTTTTTTTTTAAACATGGGCAGGAATTAAGGAAGTATTTTGGTAACTGTTTCCATAATGTGCACATAAAGAAATAACAGGACTTCTTTGTAGTCAAATAGGGTGACAATGTAAATTGAGCACTATCTTATTATTTAAATGGAGTT